TAGAAAAAATCTTGAATAGCCATTAAAAAAATAGAACTAGAAAAAATCTTGAATAGCCAATGCAATTCTATAAGAACAAATCTGTTGCCATCACATTACCAGACTTCAGATTATACTGGGAGTACTGGTTAGGCACATGTGAAAATTGGACCTGCATCTCTCACTACTTATAAAAATTAACTCACAATGGATGAAAGATTTACATATAAGACATGAAACTATAAAAATTCTAGAAGAAAGTGTGGGAAAAACTTTTTTTTTTTTGAGACAGAGTCTCAATCTGCCACCCTGGGTAGAATGTCATGGCGTCACAGCTTACAGCAACCTCCAACCCCGGGGCTTAAGTAATTCTATTGCCTCAGCTTTCCAAGTAGCTGGGACTACTGGTGCCCACCACAAAGCCCGGCTTTTTTGTTGTTGTTGTTGTTGGTTGTTGCAGTTGTCATTGTTGTTTTAGCAGCCCCGGGCCGGGTTCAAACCTGCCAGCCTCAGTGCATGTGGCCGGCACCCTACCCACTGAGCTATGGGCGCTGCCAAGGGAAAAACTCTTAATGATATAGGTCTAGGGAAAGAATTTATGAAGAAAACCTCAAAGGCAACTGCAGAAACAACAAAAATTAATAAATGGGACCTGATCAAGTTAACAAGTTTCTGCACAGCTAAAGACACAATCAACAAAGCAAAGAGACCATCTTCAGCGTGGGGAAGATATTTGCATGTTATATATCTTACAAAATGCTAATAATCAGAATCTACAAAGAACTCAAGCAAATCAACAAGAAAGAGCAAACCCCATTAAAAGCTAGGAAAGAGACATGAACAGATTTTTTCTTATGAAGAAACACATGAAGAAGTGGACATCATCTCTAATTATTAGAGAAATGCAAATCAAAATCACTTTGAGATATTGCAAAATCCCAGCAAGAATGGCCCACATCACAAAGTTGGCCCAAAGTAACAGATGCCGTCATAGAGGGGAGAGAAGGGAACATTCCTGCACTGTTGACGGGACTGCAAACTACTACAGACTTGATGGAAAGAAGTATGTAGAGTCCTCAGACACCTAAAAGTAGAACTTCCAGGCCAGGCACGGTAGTTCACACCTGTAATCCTACTGCTCTGGGAGGTTGACGTGGGTGGATTGCTTGAGCTCACAAGTTGGAGACCAGCCTGAGCAAGAGTAAGATCTCACCTACAAAACATAGCTGGGCGTTGTGGGCGCCTGTAGTCCCAGCTACTGGGGAGGCTGAGGCAAGAGAATCACTTGAGCCTAAGAGTTTGAGGTTGCTGTGAGCTATGATGCCAAGGCACTCTACCCAGGGTGAGAAAGTGAGACTCAGTCTCAAATAAATAAATAAAAGTAGACCTTCCATTTGATCCTATAATTCTCCCTCCCTTTCTTCTTTCCTCTCTCCCTCTTTTCCATTTAACAAATATTTGTTGGATGCCCAAGTATTCAGCTGGACTGATATATAAAGGTGATGAAGGCCCTGTTCCTGCTCTTGATTTCCAACATCAACTAATGAGATTAACAAAGGATGAGAATATTTATAATTTTAAAAAATATAGTTCTAAAAAACACATATAAAAGACTGGGTGTGGTGGCTCACTCCTATAATCCTACCTAGTACTCTGGGAGGCCAAGGCAGGAGGATTGCTTGAGTTCTTGAGTTTTAGACCAGACCGAGCAAGAGCAAGACCCTGTCTCTACTAAAAATAGAAAAAAAAAAAACTAGCCATGTATGGTGTGGTGGCACATGCCTGTAGGTCCAGCTACGTGGGAGGCTGAGGCAAGAGGATTACATGAGCCCAAGAGCTTGAAGTTGCTGTGAGCTACCATGACGCCTTGGAGCTCTACTCAGGGCAACAGACTGAGACTCTGCCTCCCCAAAAAACAAACAAACAAACAAAACCATGTAAAATAAAGAATGCCTCTATATATTTTTGTATCAATGTAAACATTTTATTTTGCTTTCAGATAGGATATTGAAATTTACATGTTATTTTTAAGACAACTAATAAGTAGCTCAGAAATTTACGAGATATAAGATACAGATAAGAAAAATCTGAAGTAAGTTTTTAACTTCATTTACACACTGTCAGGAAAAATAGGACTTCTGTAATTGATACTGGCTTTGAATATCAAGCACTTTTTTCCGTAAGTACTTATTTATCCTTCCAGGAAGTATATTGTGATTTTGTATCTAAGAAATCAATAACTAAGGGTTTCTATCTTACCAAATTGTAAAACATTACTTCAAGTTAAGCCTTATGACGGAGTCCAATATCTGTTTTGAACTTCTTTTCTTCCAACTAAGTTCTTTAATGAAATCAAAAAGCAGTATAAGGATTCAGATAAGATCATAGGAGGAAAAAAAGGCAAATACAAGGTATGTTTGCCTTACAAAGGATATCAGTAAAGACTTTAAGAAGATAAATAGTTGATAATTAAAAAAAATCATGAAGTCTGAAACTTAGAGCAATATAATTGCCTTATTAAGTTTTATCAAAAAGGACCTTTTCCAGCTTGTTTCCAGACTTCTTTTACTCCTTTAATGCTTTCTTTCTTCACACATTTCCAGTATTCTTGTATACCTGGATGCTGTGGTACCTGTTAACCAAAAGAAAAAATTAAGGGGTCACTCTCTTGAAGGTTAAAGATGATTCCATACTTTATTTCCTTCCTATATTTTCTCCAAAAAATAGCTGTGGTAGATTATGTAAAAGATGATTGCAAGAAAACTGTTAAGTAAGGGTAAAAAACAAAACATGAATGTGATATGAGACTATATTTAGGGTATAAGGAATAGAAGCAGACTAAGTTGCATTAACGGAGTTTTTTCTGTAAGAAGGACATCTTCCACATTCCGGTCTTAAAATTTAATAATGTTTTCCTTTTATAATATTTTATAATATTTTCCCCTTTCTAGTGAACTTTAGCTATGCCGAATAAAAAATATAAGCCTAAAACTTTGACTTAACCTTGGCTAAAATTAAATAAAAAGCAAATGATAAGTTACAACTTATTTGATAAGAAGCTTCAAGAAAAAATAACCTAATTCGTGTTAGTTTGAGAATTAAAAATATTGTGTGGCTATTACTCAAAAAAATGAAAAAGTAAACCCTAGAAAATATTTGGTCCTGGTGACCACTAGAGCACAACATTGCTGGAAATTAGCCAAAAGAAAGCAAAAGTCTACTTCAGATTATATATGTTTTAGTTCCTATCACTGACTTACAGATCTTTTTTGGCCAGGGCCCGGTTTGAACCCGCCATCTCCGGTATATGGGATCAGCGTTCTCCTGTGAGCCACAGGCGCTCCCCCAGATCTTCTTTTTAATATTTTCCAAGAAAGGGCTAAGAGGCTCTCAGGTACCTTAAATTGTTAACTGCAAAGATTGGTTTGATTTCTAGGAATATGACTAACTATAGGGTGCTGATAATTACAAGGCTTGCAAAACATGTTTGCCAGTGAAAACCATATTTAGTGGCTCAGTGCCCATAGCACAGTGGTTATGGCACTAGCCATAGGCACCCAAGGCTGGCGGGTTCAAACCTGGCCCGGACCAGTTAAATAACAATGACGACTGCAACCAAAAAATAGCCGGGCATGTGGTGGGCACTTACAGTCCCAGCTACTTGGGAGGCTGAGGCAAGAGAATCACTTAAGCCCAAGAATTGGAGGTTGCTGTGAGCTGTGACATCATGGCACTCTACCAAAGGGTGACATAGTGAGACTCTTGTTTCCAAAAAAAAAAGAAAATCATATTTATTGTCTATAAATTATACTTATTGTAAGTAACAGACTTGCTTTTCTAAGTTGTAAACGAACAGTGAACAGTGTTGAACTCATGAACAGCCTTATATTCTTTTTCTACTGCCCCCTGCTTCCTTTCTTCCAGCCCATCTACCTACCTACCAACCACGTACCATAGATTCTTTTTGGACCCTAGTTTTCCCCATGAGGTCTTCTTTCATAAGAGTGCTTCTAGCAGATTATAATCTATATACAAAATTGATTTGTACCTCAGTTATAGACTAATATGTAGATTTGAATGAAAAACGCTGACTTCATGTGTCTTATTCAACATACTAAGTATTTTACACTTAATACATACAATAATTCTTTTTGATAAATTGTTAGTTTTTTCACTATACAGATGAGGAATCTGAAATTTAGAAAAATCAGTGGTCTTGCAAGGTTCAGCAGGTAATAAATGGTAGAGCTGGGATCTCAATCTATGTAACTATAGAGCCCAAAGTCAAACTCTAGGCTATGATTTCTGAGTAGATTAAGACTTTTTTTCGAAAAAGAAAAATGTTGACTATCATCTGCAAAACATATTTCAGTGTTTCAAATTCTAGCTTATGGTCTACAAATGATAAAAACTTCATTTAATGTCTCTGAACATTTGCCTACATTCTAGGTTTTAATTAACCAGTTAATTATGTGAAATTTATATTTATTTAAAAACTCAAAATACATTACCCATAAGCCTCGATGCATTCTGTTTTTTAACACCCCAAGAAACTCTTCATGACTGAGACACTCATCCCCATCCAAATCAAAGATCTTGAAGACAGTGTCCAAAATATTGTTTGAGAGCTCTTGTCCAGTTGCTACTTTTACAGCTCTCTTAAACTCCGCTAAAAAGAAAAAAAAAAACACATAAAACTCATCAAACACATGAAATAGTCTAAGTGGAATTAACCTTCATTATTTGAGAAGGAAAAACATGCCTAAATTTTTATTATTTGTAAAGTAAAACAAAACAAAAATATCCATCAACATTATATTCCAGTCACAAATGTGGTTGAGAAATGTCACATGAGCAGCCACAAGACAGGTTAGTTATTTTAATTTAATCAATGATTTAAACACATATATTTAAATATATCCTTCTCCTTTTTAGGAGAAAGAGAAAATAAAAGGTAATAAAGTAACCATAAGATCAGAGTGTTGGTATTGTAAATCTAGAACAACCAGGTTGAATTAAAAGGCCAATTGATTATTCTACTATTAGCACCTTGACTGGTATCATTTAGTTGAAGAATACAGTGAAATTATTTATAGATAATAAAAATTAAATGATTCATATAACTTACCTAGTCTGACAGGGCGATGAGCTAAACTAAACATTTGCATGGCAATAGCAAAGTCTTCTAAGTGCGTTGTAAAATGGCAAAATGACTTGAACTCATCCAAACTAATGCTCTAATAAAAGAGAGTTTTTATTACAATTTTATAAAAGCACTAAATTAAATCTTATGCATATAACTGTGAATCCATCATAAAGCTTATGAACTTAGATTTTTCTAATCAAGTCCATTAAAAAGTTTGAGGCATAGAGTAACTACAGAATTAAAGGTTTAGAGATTAGGTGGAATTATAGGAGAATAAGTGGCAGAGCCACTGTGCCTGGCTATCAGACAGTACACGTGTGACTGGGCCTCTGGGAGTGATGCAGTGTAAACTTAAGGATGGCCCCATGCTACAGAATAAATACTATCTTCTCCAAATTCACATGTTAAGGCTCTCACCCCTAATGTAACTGTAACTGAAGACAGAGCTTGTGAGGTAATAAAGGTTAAAACTGGTTATCAGGGTGAGACCCTATCTGATATGACTGGTGTCTCAAGAAAAGGAAGAGACAGCAGAGCTCTCCCTCTGCCACCCTCCAAGCCTACGCACCATGTGCAGTGAGAAGGTGTTCCTGCAGGCAGGGAGAAAGGCCTCACAACTGGCCCTGCTAGCACCTTGATCTTTGATTTCCAGTCTCCAGAACTGAGAGAAATAAATTTCTGTTGTTAAATATCCAATCCATGGTATTTTGTTATGGCAGTCTGTGAGATTAATAGTCTGTTAAACGGTCCCCTTCTAAATGTTATCAGAGGACTAGCACTAAGAGCACTGCGTTTGGAGTTCGATGGACCCATATTGAAATTTTGCCACTTACTATGTGGATGATCCTAGCCTTTCTAAACTGTAGGTAAGTAACCCTTTAGAGGTTAAATATAATAGTTTGCCCAAGAGCTACTAAATGGAACAATCAGGATTTGAACTTTGGTCCATCTGATTTTAAAACCTATGAACCTAAAAAAAAAAAGATAAGCTAAGAAAACTAGAGTTCCCATTAAAAAAAACTAAAGAAGGGAGGATGCTGTGAGGAGGGAAGGTATTTTGGGGGACCTCACCTAATATGCATAATGCAATGATGCATTTCAAAACTATTAAGAATAGAGTCTAAATATCTTACCACAACAAATAATAAAGTGAAGAGATGGTTATGTTAATCAGTTAGATGTAAACAGTCCATTGTGTATCAAATCAGCACCTCGTACTCCATAAATGCATTAATGTACATAGTTAAAATTTAATAAAGAAGAAAAAAGTAAAGAAAGTAGAAAAATTCTTTTTATTTTATTTATTTATTTAGAGACAGAGCTCAAGCTGTCACCCTGGGTAGAGTGCTGTGCCATCACAGCTTACAGCAACCTTCAAACCCTGGGCTTAAGTGATTCTCTTGTCTTAGCCCCGCCACAATGCTCAGCTATGTTTTAGCTGTAGTTGTCATTGTTTTGCAGGCCCAGGCTGGATTTGAACCCACCAGCTCAGATGTATGTGGCTGGCGCCTTGGCAGCTTGAGTTACAGGCGCCGCCTAGAAAAATTCTTAATTTGAACATAACTTCTTCTTGCCTAAAAAATAGTTTTTCTTTATAGAGACCTTCAGGATCATACCTTCTGTATATGGGTTGCCTTATTCAAGTAACACTGATTTTAGCTTTTGTAAATTTATGAAATTTTTATTTTATTATTAGTTTAGGGCAGGTATGGTGGCTCATGCCTATAATCCTCTACTGAGTATGACCAAAGTGAAATTCTAGCTCAAAAAAATTTTTTTAAAATTGTTTTTTAAAAAGTAATATATGTACATGGCAAATATTCAAACAGTACAAAAGATAAATAATGAAAAGTTTTCCTTCCTCTTCTGAACCCTGGAGGTAAAACACTGTTACCAATTCATTGTGTCTCCTTCCAGAAATATTCTACTCATATGCATGCACACAAACACACATATCTTGTTTTACAAAGTGGGGACATCCTCTTCATACATTTCCACACCTACTTTATTTTCTTAGTAGTATATTTACAAGATGATGGGGGGGGGGAAGGAAAATCCCCAGTATACTTATCAGCACAAATAAAAGAGGGGCTGCTTCTCTATTTAACAAATATATTTTTCTTTTTTTGAGACAGAGTCCTACTTTACGGCCCTTGGTAGAGTGCTGTTGCATCATAGCTCACAGCAACCTCAAACTCTTGGGCGTTAGCTATTCTCTTGTCTCAGCCTCCTGAGACAGGTAGCTGGGACTACAGGTGCCTGCCACAATGGCCTGTTATTTTTAGAGACAGGGTCTTGCTCTGGCTGAGGCTAGTCTCCAACCTGTGAGCTCAGGCAATCCACCCGCTTCAGCCTCCCAGAATGCTAGGATTACAGGCGTGAGCCACCTTGACTGCCCTATATAACAGTCTTAAAGCAAGCACTGGGTACAATGTTTTTTGATGCTTGCCTTTTTTTTTTTTTTAAGTCAGAGTCTCACCTGGTCTCCTTTGGTAGAGTGCTGTGGCGCCTTAGCTCACAGTAGCCTCAAACTCTTTGGCTCAAGTGATTCTCTTGCCTCAGCCTCCCAAGTAGCTAGGACTACAGACACCTGCCACAACACCCAGTTATTTTTAGAGATGGGGTCTCACTCTTGCTCAGGCTGGTCTTGAACTCCTAAGCTCAGGCCATCAACATGCCTCCACCTCCCAGAGTGCTAGGATCACAGGCATGAGCCACTGCAGCCAGCCTGATGTTTACTTTTTTAATAGGTGAAAAATGTGTCTTAATAATGTCTGAGTTTATATGTTAATTATGAATAGAGTTAAACATTTCCCACATATTTACTAGTTATTTGTGGATTTTTCTTTTCATGTCCTGTATGTCCCAGATTTCTAGTTCTTATTGTAGGAGACAATTCTGTATGGGTTTCATTTATGCACATCTTTCAAATAGAGGTACCAAATGCCTTTTTGTTCCAGACTCTTTCCAAGGATGTTTGCAGAGTGAATATCCTTGGAAACAGGATGGAATACAGATAGTGTCTTCCTATGACAGCTTTGTTTACCTCCAGGATAAGGAATATAAAATGTCTCCCTTTGTGGCAAACATCAACATGGCTTGCTAACTGCCTATTATAAAATATTTGGATTTGCTATGATGAAGTTCTTCAGGCATGAAGTCAATCTACTGTGTGGGCAGTGTCTATCTGGGCTACTGCGTCTCTCCCATAGACTTAGGAGGCAAGGGGGATCAGACACAAATACGTTGTTCATGCTGTTTTATATTAATGAATAATAAAGTTCTTTGTCTCTGATCCAATAGTCCTGTATTTTCTGGAAGCATCCATAAAACTATTTAGGTTACTTTGCAAACAGATAAAATCTCAAGATACTTTACAGTTATTAACATGTTGATTTTTGAAATTTCATCATATAGGGTGTTCATAAAGTTGGTGTACAATTTTAAACTTTATGGATACCCTGTATATTAAATAGGAATAAGAATCTCAAACTCTTCAAAGTTCCTAATACCTACTGATTTTAAGATCTCATTATAAATCAACAAAATTGATGTACTACTTGCCAATATTTCTCCCTCATTTTGTTAATTTTTTCTTCTGACTTTGATTATAATTTTGGAGGATGATGAGAGGGAGGCAGGAGCATTTTAATTTTTAGGTAGTAATTTTACCAATTTTTTTTGAAAGGTTGGATTTTACATAGAAAGATATATAACCCATTCTAAAACAATATATTGTTTCCAAGTTTTCTTCTATACTTAGTTTCATTTTTCTCACCAACATTTGCTTTGTTTTGTTTTTTAGACAAAGTCTCACTTTGTCCCCCTTGGTAGAGTGCTGGCGCATCATCACTGACAGCAACCTCTTGGGCTGAAGTGATTCTCTTGCTTCAGCCTCCCGAGTAGCTGGGACTATATGCACCCTGCCATAACGTCCAGCTATTCTCACCAACATCTGATTTTTTGATCTACCTGGAATTTATTTTAGAGTAATAAATAAGGTAGAGATTTATGCTCATTTTCTCCCTTAGATGGCCAGTGAATTATTCCAATGCCATTTATCAACAATTCTTCTTCTTCCTTTTTCTTCTTTTTTTGAGACAGAGATTTACTTTGTCGCCTTTGGTAGAGTGCTATGGCAGTCACAGCTCACAGAAACCTAGAACTTTGGGGCTTAAGCAATTCTCTTGCCTCAGCGTTCCACGTAATTGGGAATATAGGTGCCCACCACAATGCCTGGCTATTTTTTTTAGAGACCCAGGTCTCACTCTGGCTCTGGCTCAGGCTGGTCTTGAACTCATGAGCTCAGGCAATCTACCTGCCTCAGTCTCCCAAAGTGCTAGGATTATAGGTGTGAGTCACTGTGCCCGGCCTCAATTCTTTTACCCAACTACTTTGAAATATTACTTTATACACTATCAGGGGTCCTCAAACTTTTTAAACAGGGGGCCAGTTCACTGTCCCTTAGACTGTTGGAGGGCCGGACTATGGGCACTAGGACAAGTTGGCTGCTAAGCAGGATAGGCAGCGGCGGCAAAAACACCAGGCGGGCTGGATAAATGTCCTAGGCGAGCTGTGTGTGACCCGCGGGTCGTAGTTTGAGGACGCCTGCACTATATAATAAACTAGAGTCTATTAGAGACTATATAGGACGCCTGCACTATATAATAAATTAGAGTCTATTTCTGGACTCTGTAAAACAAACTGTTTTAGTTACCATGGTTTGATAATATATTTTAGTATGCTGGCATTCTTTTCATGTGAACTTTTATGGCTTGTCCACTTTCCTCCCCCAAAATCCAATGGTATTTTTACTGAAAGCCATTAGTGCTCACTAATATCTGGCTTTTTTCTGACCCTTGCACATTAAAAAGGCATTTCTTTGCCTCCTGGCATTCAGGTGGAATTATGTGATTAGTCTTGCCAATAGCTAGGTATTATGTGATGTGTCTAGGCCAAAACATTTAATTGTGGGAATCTAACTCCCTCCTTTCTTTTCTTGTCATGGCCTCTGAGGGTGGTGTTCCTGCAGATGACAGAAGTCCAAGATGGCAGAGTTTGGATCCCTGAGCAACAGTGGAGATAGACCCTCCTACCAGCCCACCAGGGAAATATGGCATGTCTGAGAAAAAAAAACCTTTGTGTGTTAGCCAGGGGGATTTCAGGGTTGATTTGCAACTGCAACAAACATGGGATATTCTGACTGATATAATGAATAATATACAGACTAAGTGAAGTCAGAACTGCTGTATTTATAATTCTAAGACTCGGCTCTGCACGTGCAGCACAGTGGTTACTGACAACACATTTTTTGTTGCAATTGCCATTGTTGTTTATCTGGCCCACACCGGTTCAAACCCAGAGTGGGCCAGTTAAAAAACAATGACAATTGCAACAAAAAATTAGCCAAGCATTGTGGCGGGCACCTTTAGTCCTAGCTACTTGGGAGGCTGATGCAAGAGAATTGCTTAAGTCTAAGAGTTTGAGGTTGCTGTAAGCTGTGACACCACAGCACTCTACTGAGGGCAGTATAGTGAGATTCTATCTCAAAAAAAAAAAAAA